GCAGGCTCCCTGCTGAGCAGGGAGCCCAATGCTGGACTCGATCCCAGGACTCCAGGATCATGACCTGAGCCGAAGGCAGTCGCTTAACCAACTGAGCCACCCACGCGCCCCACGAGTGGTTTTCTGATTATAAAAATCATAGAAAAATATTTTCGATAACTGCTTTATTATGAAGCCCTTATCATCCTAATTCTTTTCTCTTTTGTAATTCTTCTCCCCCTCTTCCCACTGCTTTCTTCTTCATCGAAGGTGTGGCAGAGAAGACACAACTTCTGAAATTGAATGTACCTGCTACCTTTATGCTTGTGTCTTTAGATGAAGGTCCAGGTCCTCCAATCAAATACCAGTATGCTGAATTAGGCAAATTGTACTCAGTTGTGTCACAGCTGATCCGCTGTTGCAATGTCTCTTCAAGGATGCAGTCTTCAATCAATGGTAAAGTCAAATGTTCCATCCTTTACATTGGTTTTAAAATACTGCTGGCCATTCGTAGTACCCAGTTAAAAGTAATTCTGAAGATGTTTAAATATAAAACCAAGAGTCTGACAATCTATAATATTTTGGGGTCTACACCTTTTTCACATGTTTAAAGGGGATCTTTTTTGTCTACTTGCTCCCAAGGTTGATACTTTGTGAAGTAGTTTAAGAATTAACTTTTTATATAGGTAAATGCCAGTGTTGGCATTTAAAGTTCGCATTTTATCATCTTGGTCTATGTGATCATTGTAATGCCTAATACTACTTTCTTCATGGTACTTAGGAATATTGATTTAAAATGTTATTTTTCTAAAATACAAAATTCATAAGCTGTTTTCTGTGGTGAAAGCTGTATTATTTTATTGTGAAGAAGCCTATTAGTTTTTCATTGATGACAAATCTGTATTCTAGGTAATCCTCCTCTTCCCAATCCTTTTGGTGATCCTAATTTATCACAACCTATAATGCCAATTCAGCAGAATGTGGCAGACATTTTATTTGTGAGAACAAGTTATGTGAAGAAAATCATTGAGGACTGCAGTAACTCAGAGGAAACTGTCAAATTGCTTCGTTTTTGCTGCTGGGAGAATCCTCAGTTCTCATCTACTGTCCTCAGTGAACTTCTCTGGCAGGTTAAAGGACAATAAACATTCATATGTCTCTCTAATTTGATTTGTTACTCCTTTAAGTAAGTTATTCACCGTGTCTTTTCCTGTTTTTAGGTTGCATATTCCTACACTTATGAACTCCGACCCTATTTGGACCTGCTTTTGCAAATCTTACTGATTGAGGACTCCTGGCAGACTCACAGGTAGATCCTCGTTTTTACTTGCCCAACTTTTAAACTAACTGAAATTGCCAGTCAGCGCTTTTTTTTCTCTTTTTTCTTTTTACCTCTTGGAGATGCAATAATGGTTTTACCTTAAAAGCTTAAGAATTAATAAAAAGTTCCCCCTTCCCTCACTTGATTTCACTTTTTATTCTTGCCCGTGTTAAATACTTCTGGCTTTCATTTTTTTTTTTTTTTTAAATTAAGGACAGTTAGCATAGGCTTTTGGTAAATGTCTTAATTTCATTAATGATGTGCTAGGGTTATTTTAAGATTAGTTTCGTTTTAGAATGAGTCATATGAGGTCACATTTGGTTATCTAAAAATAGTCCTTAGGTAAGTAAGTACAGTCAGTTCCCGTTATTCATGGTAGCTATATTCTATAAAGTCGTTGTGAACACTGAATGAGGGAATGCAGAGCCATTGCTCCTAGGGGAAATACAGGGTTAGGTTCCTGCAAGCCTCTGGTTACATTTTTGTCAACCAATCTATCATAACCTTTTTCTAAATGTGTGGTTATCTTTTTAAAGACAGCTTATTTACTGTACATTGCTGACTCTTTAACACTGAACTCACAATAACTTGTGTCTGAATAAAGCTTATTTAATGCAGTATTTTCTCTGCAAAGCCTTTTGGGGCTTACAAATACTAGGTAGCACTTCACTACACATTTGGGGGCCATTTTAAACCATGAAATCAACAAAAAGCACAAAGTGTGGGAAGGGTTTCACTAAATAGCAAAAAGGACACTCCTTTACAGTATGAGCTGAATCAAGGCAAAGTGTCGTTCTGTTCCTCGTCAGCTGGGAACATACATGTTTGGTCCAAATTTTTTTTCCACTCAGCACATGACCACCAAAGCACCATGTATTTGCCATTACAAATAAAGTTTAGCAAGTAGGCAAAATCACAAATACGGAATCTGTGAATAATGAACATCAACTTTAGTTTTTCAGTATATGAGAATTTGAGTGCAATTTTTTTTTAAACTGAGGATATCCAGCATAACTATCCCTCAAGCTTCCTTCAGAATTTCTCCATCTTGTTTTTTGCCATAAAGTTTAATATATTATCTTTAGTCCCAAGAATCTAGGTGATGATGAAGTATGGAATTAGTTGACAACTCTGCCAGATTTTAGAAGTTCCCTCCCCACATGAATGATAGTATAATACTTGATTTTCAGAAACAGTTCAAAATTTATATATATATATGTTATGTCTGTCAATACAGTAATTAAAGCAGCAACTTGAAGGCAAGCTCTGTAACAACAAAATGCTTAAAACTTACAATTTTGAGTCTTAGTGGAGATTGCAAATGTCTTAATTCGTGAATTAATATTTCCATATTATCTCCAAAATTATCAGATTTAAGTTGTATTAATTACGTTGTAAAAATAGCATCAAACCAAAAATCAATTTTCATGAGACAAAAAGTTTAATAGTTCTCAAACTATAACCATATATTTTGAGCACTATCCAGTACCCTTCCCAATATGGTTATAGGATTTGAAACTTTTCTTAAAAGTTGTTTTTAGTTGTGCCTGGGTGGCTCAATTGGTTAAACGTCTGATTCTTGATTTTGGCTCAGGTCATGATCTCAGGGTTGTGAGTTGAGCCCTGCATCAGGCTGTGTGCTGGGCATGGAGCCTGCTCAAGATTCTCTCTCTTCCTCTCCCTTTGTCCTTCCTCTTTTCATTTAAAAAATATTGTAAGCACTTACAGCAGTAAACCAGTTGGTTACATCATAGCTCTCTTGATTCATTATAGCAAGCGATAATGGTAAAGGCACATGTGCTGGATTAAATATGGACAGTTGAGGGGCGCCTGGGTGGCTCAGATGGTTAAGCGTCTGCCTTTAGTTCAGGTCACGATCCC